TGTTTATTCCCTCTGGGGCACCTGGCATTGGCCGCTGTCGGAAGACAAGATACTGGGCTAGATGGACCTTTAGTCTGACCCAGTAGGGCCATTCTTATGATACACGTAGGTATCCATGACATAGGGAAAGGTGGTAGAGAGGTCATGGGAGGCTAAATTTAGGCTGCTAGGTAAGAGATGAAAGTCCAGGACCTCCATGGTAGCAGTCTCTGAAATGCTTCCAGTTCTAGAGTAGAACTGCAGTATCTCACTGCATGGATGAGAGACATTGGTGTAGGGAGGAGGGTTTTAGGTTTATTAGGAACTGGGGGGCCTTTTGGGAAAGGGGGAGCTTACACAGGAAGGATGGGCTCCACCTAAACCAAAATGGAACCAAGTTGCTGGCATGTAAAATTGAAAAGGTCATTGAGGAGTCTTTAAACTAAGGGCTAGGGGAAAGCCAACAGGTACAGAGGAGCATGCAGTTTGGACATGGACTTCCTTTGGGGTGGGAAGTACTACATCCTAGTAAAGAGGGAGGATAGAAGTTGATAAGGTAGGAGCTGAAGAAAAACAGTCAGACCAAAAAAGAGTCCCACTCACTTATATCACATCAAGGCAGACAACTAAGTATTGACAAATTTATAAGTGCTTGTATACAAATGTAATAAGATTAAATATTAAGACAGGTGAACTTGAGTGCTTGGTGTTAAATGAGGATATTGATATAATAGGCATCACAGAAACTTGGTGAAACAGTGGTAATCAATGGGACACAGTCATACCAAAGTACAAAATATATAGGAATAACAGAGTAGGTCGTGCTGGTGCGGGAGTGGCATTGTATGTGAAAGAAAGGGCCCCTTACTGAATGAGGGAGGCAACCTAGTGACAGAGGATGTGGAAAAAGCTAATGTACTCAATGCTTTTTTTGCCTCTGTTTTCACTAACAAGGTCAGCTCCCAGACTGCTGCGCTGGGCATCACAAAATGGGGAAGAGATGGCCAGCCCTCTGTGGAGATAGAGGTGGTTAGGGACTATTTAGAAAAGCTGGACGTGCACAAGTCCATGGGGCCGGACAGTTGCATCCGAGAGTGCTGAAGGAATTGGCGGCTGTGATTGCAGAGCCATTGGCCATTATCTTTGAAAACTCGTGGTGAACCGGGGAAGTCCCGGATGACTGGAAAAAGGCTAATGTAGTGCCAATCTTTAAAAAAGGGAAGAAGGAGGATCCTGGGAACTACAGGCCAGTCAGCCTCACTTCAGTCCCTGGAAAAATCATGGAGCAGGTCCTCAAAGAATCAATCCTGAAGCACTTGCATGAGAGGAAAGTGATCAGGAACAGCCAGCATGGATTCACCAAGGGAAGGTCATGCCTGACTAATCTAATCGCCTTTTATGATGAGATTACTGGTTCTGTGGATGAAGGGAAAGCAGTGGATGTATTGTTTCTTGACTTTAGCAAAGCTTTTGACACGGTCTCCCACAGTATTCTTGTCAGCAAGTTAAGGAAGTATGGGCTGGATGAATGCACTACAAGGTGGGTAGAAAGCTGGCTAGCTTGTCGGGCTCAACGGGTAGTGATCAATGGCTCCATGTCTAGTTGGCAGCCGGTATCAAGTGGAGTACCCCAAGGGTCGGTCCTGGGGCCGGTTTTGTTCAATATCTTCATAAATGATCTGGAGGATGGTGTGGATTGCACTCTCAGCAAATTTGCGGATGATACTAAACTGGGAGGAGTGGTAGATACGCTGGAGGGGAGGGATAGGATACAGAAGGACCTAGACAAATTGGAGGATTGGGCCAAAAGAAATCTGATGAGGTTCAATAAGGATAAGTGCAGGGTCCTGCACTTAGGACGGAAGAACCCAATGCACAGCTACAGACTAGGGACCGAATGGCTAGGCAGCAGTTCTGCGGAAAAGGACCTAGGGGTGACAGTGGACGAGAAGCTGGATATGAGTCAGCAGTGTGCCCTTGTTGCCAAGAAGGCCAATGGCATTTTGGGATGTATAAGTAGGGGCATAGCGAGCAGATTGAGGGACGTGATCGTTCCCCTCTATTCGACATTGGTGAGGCCTCATCTGGAGTACTGTGTCCAGTTTTGGGCCCCACACTTCAAGAAGGATGTGGATAAATTGGAGAGAGTCCAGCGAAGGGCAACAAAAATGATTAGGGGACTGGAACACATGAGTTATGAGGAGAGGCTGAGGGAGCTGGGATTGTTTAGCCTGCAGAAGAGAAGAATGAGGGGGGGATTTGATAGCTGCTTTCAACTACCTGAAAGGGGGTTCCAAAGAGGATGGCTCTAGACTGTTCTCAATGGTAGCAGATGACAGAACGAGGAGTAATGGTCTCAAGCTGCAGTGTGGGAGGTTTAGATTGGATATTAGGAAAAACTTTTTCACTAAGAGGGTGGTGAAACACTGGAATGCGTTACCTAGGGAGGTGGTAGAATCTCCTTCCTTAGAGGTTTTTAAGGTCATGCTTGACAAAGCCCTGGCTGGGATGATTTAACTGGGAATTGGTCGTGCTTTGAGCAGGGGGTTGGACTAGATGACCTTCTGGGGTCCCTTCCAACCCTGATATTCTATGATTCTATGAAATCAGAGTCAAATACAGTAAAAATCTTAAATAAATCAAACTGTACCATGGAATCTCTAAGGATAGAAATTCCATGCTTAAACAATAAGAACATAGCAGTAGGAATATACTACCGACCCCCTGACCAGGAGGGTGGGGGTGATCAGAGAGGCTGGGAAAACAGAAAACCCAGTATGATCTGGAAAAAGGGGTGTAAACTGTGAGCTGGCAAAATTTGCTGATATTACAAAATTACTTAAGATAGTTAAGTCCAAAGCTGACAGTGAAGAGTAGCAAAGGGATCTCCCAAAACTGGGTGGTTGGGCTACCAAGTGGCAGGTGAAATTCAGTGGTGATAAATGGAAAGTAATGCACCTTGGAAAACATAACTCCAACTATACATATAAAATGATGGGGTCTAAATTAGCTGTTTCCACTCAAGAAAGAGACCTTGGAGTCATGGTGGATAGTTCTCTGAAAACATCCTCTGTGTTTCAATCCTTCTACCTCCTGATTTTGAATATCTGCAGTTACGTTTTTTTGTCCTCAATTCCTGCTGTGACTGGTGGATCTCCGCTCTAGACCTCCAGTGAACCTCCACCATCTGGCTGTGTTGGAGAGCTTGAGCCCCAGTGGAGGAGTTCCCTCTTCTCCAGTGTGCGCTCCGTAGGAGTAGCCTGCCACCACGTGTCGGCATAAACACACTGCTGGTGTGGTTTAACAAGTGATTATGTGTTCTTTGATGGACCGCTCCCAGAGCAAACTCCAAGAGTCTCACTTCTTATTCCCTGCACACAGAGTGGGAATGTTTATCTGAGCTGCCCTGTGGGATGACACCAAAAGTGACAGGCTGAGCTACTTCTGCAGTGGGTTTTGTCACTTCTGTGCAAATCTAATGTTCCACTGAACCCTGGAGCTGAGCTGCGCTAGAGACAGAAAGGGGCCTGAAAGGTAGTGTACCCTCCACCCGTAGTGTGCCCCTTGTGTCCAGGTGCGAAGCTGCAAAGAGCACTGCTCTCCGGCACCTCATGCTGACCGCCTGCCACTGGGGGACCCTGGCAGTTCTCTCTGGGTCTCACCCTGCACTCTGAGCCCTCATTCACAGAGGCCTGCTCTGTCTCCTGTGGGCTCCTTCCAGCCTGCAGCAGCTGCTGGGCCTCTCTAGAGAGATCCTTTGTGCCCCTCTTTATACAGCTTGAGCAGCCTCTATCTAGCTCAGCTGCTCCATTGCCAATTAGCTACAGGGCTGCCACTTGGAGCACTCGAGTGCTCCCAGGTGTCGCCCACAGGGTCGTCATGAGCCAGTTGGGCCCTCGTTCTCGTGAAGAGCCACTGGTCCCATGAGTGGTCCATGTGGACTTCACTGAAGCACAGATAGAAGACAGGAGCGGCAGCCTATACTCCACTGAGCTGCGGGTCCTTAGTGCCTTTTGAGACTCAGGCCAGCTGCTTAGGTCCCCAGCTTTGAAACCTGTGACTTGACCAAAGTCCACCCGACAGGTTGGTGGCAGAGCCAAAGATGGAACCCAGGAGTCCTGGCTCCTTGGCAGCTACTCTTGCCACTAGAGCACACTACCTCCCAGCTTTCTACAGTAATTGTCCAAAACGCTCCGTCTTGCAGTGTTGTAATGCTGTGGTGCGTGTTAATAATAGGCCGGTGCAGACTGAAGCAAACAAGCAATTGAAGGCAGAGCTGTAGAATCCTATTGCCTTCCCAGGGCTAATGCCTTGCAAAGGTTGGGGTTCCTGCTTTGAGCCCCATCCACATTACACCCTAACCTCCACTGTCACAGTCCTCTAATTGGCTTGGATGCCCAATTCGACGCATGCGATGAGCAAGCTCTGCTTGAACATGTGCACCGTGGCAGGGAGTGCCATGCTGGCAAGTTTAGGTGGGGCGTGTAGTCTGAACTGACTGCTGCTTGCCGTTCACGGTCCCTCTGACACGGTCGGTGCACCCTAAGAGCCATGTTTACACATGGCTTTGCCTAGCCACCTCGGAGGCAGGACTCCCGGGTTCTGTTTCTGGCTCTATCACCCACCTGTTGGGTGGGCTTTGGGCCAGTCACTTTCAGGCCAGCTACGTAAGCCCCCAAGTTTAATTTTCAAAGGTATTAAGAACCTGCCTCTGGCACGGCCAGATCTTAGTCCAGGATTAAACCGTGGCTCTGGTATGGTAAAAGCATGTCTCAGCGTGGCATGGCTTTGCCACACGTATGTTCCTAAAGTGTCCATCCCACAGCTTTTCTCCAGGGCATGGGGAGATGTACTCTCATTCATAGATTTCCAGGCCAGAAGGGACCACTGTGATCATCTCGTCTGACGACACCCCCCCCCCCCCTCCCCCGGGAGCACATACTGTGCTGAGCATGCTGGGTGCACTCAGGCAGGTGGCGTGCGACCCTCAGCCCTGATGGTTCTTTCCCCTTCCCGGCCAGGTGGAGGAGGAGCTGCAGGAGCAGGACTTCCTCGACCGCTGTTTCCAGGAGATGCTGGATGAAGAGGACCAGGACTGGTTCATTCCATCACGCGACCTGCCCCAGGGCATCGGGCAGCTGCAGCAGCAGCTGAATGGCCTCTCGGTGGGCGACAGTTGCAGTTCAGAGGATATTTTGGTAAAGATCTGGGAGCAGGTTGCGTGCGGTAGTGGTCCCTGGGGATTCCCCTACCCTCAGCAGGGCCCTGTCTCAGGGTGGGGAGCACCAATGAGGGCAGAGCACTTCTCGCTGGTGGGGTTTACTGAGCCATTGTGTAATCCTCACTAGCACTGGTGGGATTCGCATGCACTGTATGGTGAGGATACACCCCCCTCAGGGTTGATGAGTCCCCATTTCCTTCCATGACGGTCCCACAGGCCAGGAGTAACCATCCCAGCTTGGTATGTCTGAGGGGTTACGTTCTGCAGGGCTTCCCCTGGGTCTGCAGGAGGCGGGGTGGCTGGTTGTCATACCAATGAGCTATGCCCATCACTTGGGTAACCCCAGGCATCTGAGATGATCTGTACTGGGATTTCCTGATCTGGAAAACACTGCTGATTGTGGGGCCTTGCAGGGGCCTGTGGGTGTTATCATCCTGCAGCACAGACTGGGGGCAGGGGAGATGCTCTGCATCAGTTCCCATTACATGGCATCTTAAGTAGCCAGATCTCTGGGTAGAGAGGAGGAGAGGGGGGTGAGGTGGAGAGAAATGCACGGTGAGAGGAATGATCCATCTCCCTTTTCTCCATTTCAGAGCAAAAGCAACTTGAACCCCGACGCCAAGGAGTTTGTTCCTGGAGTGAAGTACTGAACCTTCAGGCAAACTTTGAACAGACTGTGTCCCTGGCTTTTGGAGTGGGAGAGGGGGGTGGGATAGGATCCAGGCTAGAGTTGAACTCGGCACGTGAATGGAGTCGCCGCGATGCAGGGAAATCTTGCTCTATAAGCTTATCGGGTACCTTTTTGTTTTTCCTTTATAGCATCTCTTGTTTGGGCAGGCGGCTTTCTGGGACTCGGAGCCCTGCGGGCTTATCTTGTGACTGCTACTCCATCGACAGCCAAGTCCAGGTGTGTGCTTCAAACCAGCTAGCAGAGGCCATTTTTGAAAGCAGGTTTCCTGCTCTCCTTCCCATCCACAGCATGCCAGGAAATGCTGTGGGGAAGGGTGGGGCTTAGGGAAGGATCCGGATTGGGTACGCTTCATATTTCCATTCAGCAGGGATTTCAGAAAAGCTGAAGCGTAATGAGGCTGCGACTCAAATCCTTCCAGCTTGCTGGATTTCCCAGCTTTCCTCTGGAAGCACAACAAACGCCCTTCCTTTGCGTGCACCGACCCCTAGACTGGGTAACTCTCTGCAGACCAGGAGAGAAGTCCGGCCTGCTTTTCTTGTTGGTGGAAGTTCTCAAGCCAGGGAGATCAGATCGGCAAGAGGCCAAGCGACCACTGGGGAAATGGCTCCTTCTACAGAATGTCCATTCGCCTTGGCTTTTTGTTTCTGTTCTTGGGCTTATTCAGTGCTGCAGGCTGCCCCTCTGAAACCTCCAGCATCTGCTGTTTACAAATCACTAGGCAAAGTGACCCACCTTTTGGCGTAAACGAAAAACAAACCCAAAGGGAACTAAAATGCTCCCCACTCCCCAGCATGCTGCTGAACGGCTCTATGGGGAGTTGTGTTCCAGCTCACATGGCAAACCCTCCTTGGAGAGGAGAACGATCCATCCACGTCTGGTGCGCTCCTTATGGGCCCCATCCTGCACGGTGCAGTGCTCCCCTTAGAAGAAGATACTCAGCAGCTTGTAAGATCAGGCCCTGGCTATTTGGCGTGTGGTCTGTCTGCTCCCTGGGCATGCCCGAGTGTCTCATGAGAATGCTTCCCTGGCTTGAGAGAAGCATTGGGGCTGCTGGTCATCACCTTCCCCGGACAGGAAGGGCCTGGCTTGATGTCCTGACTTGTGCCCCACAATTTGCCTCTTGCCATGTGAGATGCTCGGTGGGTGTGGAGGCAAATTTGGCTTTTGATAACGAATGCTTTGAGCTGATGAGAATTGTTGGCAAACAAACCAGAGACTCCAGGACACCTGTGGGAACCAGCTGGGAGCAGGACACTCTGCCCATATTGTCAGCCAGTGTTTTTGAATGGTCCCATGGTTCGGGATTTAACCATTGGGCTTGGGGGAGTGTCTCAGCAGTGGTACGGTCCCCTCAGAATTTAGGCATCCAGGTATTTAGAGATTAAAAGCATCCTGGGTTGCAGGAGTTGATGTCTCTTCTGAAGCCCTCCAAGCCACGGTTAGACACATGGTCTGGGAAACACAGGAACCTCCTGTAACAGGAAGGGATTTCCAGCCTCAGACTAGTCTGGAGGAGTGGGAAGAGCAAGTCCCCTGTGAGCTGTCAGATGGACTTGCTGGGGCCATATGGAAGGCTGGGGAACCTTCAGCATAAAGGTGAGGGAGCAGCTTTTAGGAGGCATTGCCCACCACCTTGTCCTTGGGCTGACGGAGGGCCTGCAGGATCAAGCTCTCTCTAGAAGCAGATACCAGGAATTTTCACATGAGCTGGTAAACCGCAGGCCCAGCTCCATTTGTAACAGACACGCTCACAGCTTCCCTCTCCTCTGTGCCAAGCCGGAGCCATCTCCTCTTGCAGCAGGAGGCCAGGATCCAGGCTTCAGCTTCCCCAAAGCAGAGCCCCAGCCTCTTTTGGGTTTTAAACCATCTTCTGGGAGGTTGGTGGCTTCCTCCTTCTGGGAACCAAGGTCCGCAACCTCCGCGCCAGGTGGACCCAGCTGTCTCTCAGTGAGGTTGCCTAGGCTGACGCTTGCTTTTTTTACTACATCTGGCCTTGGTGAAGTAGACTGGGGTTCTCTGCTTTGTCCATGTACAACACAGGCCACAAACACCCAGCTTCAGAGTGCGACCAGGTTTTTAATCTCCTCTCCCTGCTGCAGCTTTTTATATCGTCCCTTGGAACTTTTTCAGTAGATTGGCAATGGGGATTCTGGAGTCCTTTCAGATCTCACCTGGGCTGGAAATTTAATGACATCAGAGAGCTGCCCACTGGCCTGTGTGAAGTGAGTGAGGTTCTCAGGCTGGTTCCCACTGACCTGGCAAACCCCATCGCGCCTGTTGACAATCTTAGAAGAAGGATCCATGGAGCATGACTACCCCTTACGGCATAGTTGAAGCACATGGCATTGTTGCTCTCTGTATGGGACCTGCTTTGGGATTAAACTGAGAGATCCAATCTCCGTGGCTGTCGGGCTGACGCCTTCAACCAGCACTAAACTCCCTTGTAAACTTCATCCAGGATCGGAAGTGGCTCAAACTGGAGTCTTACTGAAGTCTGCAGGTACCTGTATGAATATTGCTACATAGTGGCAGGATTGGGCCTGGTTGTGTTGTGTCCTCCTGTTCTTGGGTACAACCGTTGCCTTTAGTGCCTACTTTCTGTTGCCCCATCTAAAAGGGGTTTTTCCATTATCTGGAGCCAGAGCGCACGCCTTGCTACGCATCTAGCTATGAATGGACTGTGGCACGGGAACAAAAATGTTCAAATCCCAGCTGCCCTTTGGAACAGCCCAGTCTTCTGGGTCAGCGTGGATTCCACTGCCATGAGAGATTAATGTCCACGTGACTGTGCGGGAGTGGTAAGGGTGGGCATACAGGTCAAACTTCTTTTGTATCACTGGTTGAGTTCTCAATTCCCCACCACCACCTTGCTCTGGCTTCTTTCTGACTTTTGAAAACACTTTCTGATGACGTGCTGTACATTTTTAAGATACGCATTATTAAAAATAAATCTTTTTGGAGTTGTGCAGTGCAGTTCATAGATCTTTCTAAGGGCCGGGTAAGCTCCTAATCCATGGGCAACTCCCACAAACATCAAGATCCCAGTAGGATGCCTTGTGTCAACTTGTTCTTTCACAAGTCCTCGTTATGGAAAAGACACCCGTAATTCAGTGTTAATAAATGTAAAGTAATGCACATTGGAAAGCATAATCCCAACTATATGTATAAAATGACGGGGTCTAAATTAGTTGCTACCACGCAAGAAAGAGACCTTGGAGGCATTGTGGAGAGTTCTCTGAAAACATCCACTCAATGTGCAGCGGCTGTCAAAAAAGCAAGCAGAATGTTGGGAATCATTAGGAAAGGGGTAGGCAAAATAGTCTATTGCCTCTATATAAATCCATGGTACGCCCACATCTCGAATACTGCGTGCAGATGTGGTTGCCCCATCTCAAAAAAGATATATTAGAATTGGAAAAGGTTCAGAAAAGGGATTAGGGGTATGGAACGGCTTCCCTAGGAGGAGCAATTAATAAGACTGGCACCTTTCAGTTTGAGGTGACTAAGGGGGGATATGACTGAAGTCTATAAAATCATGACTGGTGTAGAGCAAGTAAATAAGGAAGTGTTATTTACTCCTCATAACACAGGAACTAGGGGTCACCAAATTAAATGAATAGGCAGCAGGTTTAAAACACGAAAGGAAGTATTTCTTCACACAACGCACAGTCAACCTGTGGAACTCTTTGCCAGAGGATGTTGTGAAGGCCAAGACTCTAACAGGGTTCAAAAAAGACCTAGATAAGTTCATGGAGGATAGGTCCATCTATGGCTATTAGCCAGGCTGGGCAGGGATGGTGTCACTAGCCTCTGTTTGCCAGAAGCTGGGAATGAGCAACAGGGGATGGATCACTTGATGATTCCCTGTTCTGTTCATTCCCACAGGGGCACCTGGTGTCGGCCACTGTCGGAAGACAGGAGATGGGGCTAGATGGACCTTTGGTCTGACCCAGTCTGGCCGTTCTCCTGTTGTGTGTAACAAGTTCTGAGGGGTACCTGGGCCTTTCCCTGTTGGCTCATGTGGTTGAGGCTTGCGCTGTCCATGGGGGAGTTCGTGGGTCTGATCGCCACGGCCCCGCCCAGTGTCTGTGGACCTGCACCTGGGCCTTGCAGATTCAAGCAGAGCGTTCAGAGTTCTCTGAACATTGTTACAGCCTGGTGGGGATTTCCAAACGTGGCTGCTGTGACTCGACACACCAGCAGCAGGATGTCGTGTCTGCCCACTCTATCCTATCCGCTGGCTTTTCAGCAGCACGCTGCCACGGGCCTGTTTCCCTAATCTCCCCCCCGGCCCCCACTGCTCGGTAAAGCAGGTGGTTACTTAATCGGGGGAGGGCTGGGTTTAGGGGCATCACAACTGCAGGGCCGGCATTAGGGAGCGGCGCACAGGGCAATTCCCCGGGGGCCCGCCATAGCGAAGTTAGATGCTTCAGTCCCTCTGTTCTCTCCCCGCACTGCAGGGCTTGGGCTTCAGTGTCTCCCTTCCCCCCACCCCACCCCACCCCACCCCACACACAGCAGGGCTTGGGCTGAAGCATGTAACTTAGCTTTGCTGGAGCCCCCCACACCAGCCCTGAGTATTACTCATAATTTGCTTAATGATGATCAAGGTAAGGGTTGCAATTATTTTAAGAACGAGGAGATGCTGAGAGCTGGGGAGGCTCGCTGGAGGGAAGAGCCACACTGCAGGAGTCGCGGGAGTGCCGGCACTGTGCACCCTCACCAGGACAGAGGTGGCATTACGCCCAGAGGCCTTAATTCCGCCAAGTACTTCACACGGGGTCCCACTGAAGTCACATGCTTAAAGTCACCCCTGTGCTTCCATGCCTTTCAGGTGCTCGGCTCAAAGCTGGTCTGCAGAATGGGTGACCTACTTCCTGGGGTGCAGCTTTAGGAAGTCTGTTCTGGGGGGCCACTTGTGCAAATCCAGCTGTGGATGCAGTGAGGCTAGTTCCCTGCAGGCCTGTCGACATCAACGCCGGGCCGTTGGGAAGGGAAAGCGAGCGGCTGCAGCGACTTGTTGGGATTTCCTGTTTATCACGGTTGCGCCTCCTGAGCCCGGTCGTGGATGCATTTTCTGGGTCTTAAACACTGATCTTTGCGCTCAGGGGGGCCGGAGTTGTGGCCCTATCACAACCACATGGGTGTTCGCTAGAGCAGGCTCAAGCAGGAAGTCTGACGAGGAAGTCGTCCCTCCGCGTCCTGGGTCCCTAACAGAAACGGACCCTGGGCAGGTCTGGATTTTAAAGGTGATCTGGAAAGGGAAGAAAATGGGTTTTCTTTGCCTTACAGTGGCTAAAGGGAAGTTTTATATTTTTAAAATGGGGGGAGGGGGGAAGAACACTGTTAAAAATTCTGTTTTTGTGTCTTTAGGCAGCTAGATGATGTCCCCAGTACCAAGTAAGTCCTGATCTACTGCAAGGGGAAATGATCTTTTCTCAAGTCTGGGGGTTGTTGGGGACACATTTAATTCAAATACGGTACAACCAATTAAGAGAAGAGAGCTGTTGCACCTCCTTTCTATATAAGAACTGGAAAAGCTTCAACTCTGCTGGCAGTTCACCATCCCAGGAAGATGAATGAGAAAAACCTGCCCTGTTTTCTTTATCCATTTCTTCCATTTGCAAAACAGGGGGCCAGAGGAAACCGCTGAATAAACAGCAGCGCCAAGCCGTGCTCCCGGAGGAAGCATTACCTGTCTGCCCAGTGCCTAGAGCTGTGGCGGGTGGTTTCTGCTGTGCGGAAGGAAAGGGAAGATTCCTAGATTCCAAGGCCAGAAGGATCCATTGTGAGCATCTAGGCTGGCCTCCAGTACAGCACAGGCCAGAGACCAGCCCCACAATGATCCCTTAGAATAGACCTTTTGAAAAAAATTCCATATTGATTTAAAAATCGCCAGTGATGGAGAATCTACCGCAACCCTTGGTATTGTTGCAATGGTTAATTACTCCTGCCTTTAAAAATGTATGCCTTATTTCTAGTCTGTCTAGCTTCAACATCCAGCCCCTGGACCATGTTAGACCTTTCTCTGCTAGATTGAAGAGCCCATTGTCAAGTATTTGTTCCCTGTGTAGGTCCTTAGCGATTGGAAGTATCACCCCATAACCTTCTATTTGTAAAGCTAAACTGATTGAGCTCCTTGCGTCTATCACGATAGGGTAGGTTTTCTAATCTTTTAGTCATTCTCGTGGCTCTTCTCTGAGCCCTCCCCAATGTATCAACACCCTTTAATTGTGGACCCCAGAACTGGGCCCAGGATTCCAAGCGTGGCTGCACCAGTGCCAGATACGGAGGTCAAATAACCTCTCTGCTCCTCAAGATTCCAGTTTGTATATCCGAGGTTCGGATTAGCCCCTTTAGCATCACACTGGGAAATTGCTGGTTATTCACCATGACCCCAAACCTTCCTCAGAGTCCCTGCTTCCCAGGATAGAGTCTCCCATCATGTAAAAATGGCCTGCATTCTTTGGTTGTAGATGAATACATCTGCATTTAGCTGTATTAAAACATATTGTTTGCTTGGGCCTAGCTTACCAAGCGATCCAGATGGTTCTGTGTCAGTGCCCCACCCTCTTCACGAATCACCACTCCCCGCTTTTTGTCATCTGCCATCTTTACCAGTGATGATTTTGTTTCCTTCCAGGTCATTGATAATGTTTAATAGAGTAGGGCCAAGAAGCGATCCCTGTAGGACCCCATTAGAAATGCACCCATTCAATGATGATTCTCTGATACAGTTACATTTTGAGACCTATTAATTAGCCAGGTTTTAATCCATTTAATGTGTGCCATGTTCATTTTCTATTATTCTAGTTCTCTAAGGAACCTGTTGGGTAGTACCAAGTCAGCTGTCTAGCATAATTTTATATCCCTGACCACGGTTACCTTCATCAACCACCCTTGTAATCTCAATACAAAAAGGTATCAAGTTAGTTTGACAGGATTGGTTTTCCATTAACTCATGTTGATTGGCATTAATTATATCACCCTCCTTTAATTGTTTATCAACAGAGTCCCATATCAGCTGCTCCATTATCTTGACCAGGATCAGTATCAGACAGACAGGTCTTTTATTACCCAGATCATCCTGTTGACCCTTTTTAAATATCAGCACAGCATTAGTTTTCTGCCAGTCTTCTGGAACTTCCCTAATGTTTTAAAACTTACTGAAAATCAGCATTAAAAGTCCACTGAACTCCTCAGCCAGCTCTTCTAAAATGCTTGGATGCAAGTTATCTGGACCTGCTGATTTAAAAATAACTGCTGCTGCTGCTGCTTAATATGCTCCTGAGATGCTCACAGAATGGAAAGAGTTACTGTATGATACAACATCTGTTTTTGCAAATCCAGAATAGATATTTATTCAACACTTCTGCCTTTTTGGCATTATTATTGATAATTCTACCATTTCCATCTACACCTGTGTTAGGATTCATTTTGTTCCTAATATATGTTAAAAACTCCTGATTGTCCTTAATTCTGCTGGCCACAGATTTTTTTCCTTGTGTCCCTTTGCTTCCCCTATCAATTTTCTGCCATTTCTAGCTTCTAATTTATATTCATTACTACCAACTTCCACTTTCTTCCATTTGTTACATTTTGTATTTATTATTTTTTATAGTTGCCTTCACTTTCCCTCTAAACAAGATCATTTTTTTTGTGTGTCTCAATTTTGTGGCTTTTCAGGAAAGTGTTCTTAAACATTCTCCATTATCACTCTTTTTTCCTTAGATATTTTAGCTCATAATAATTTTCAGCTTTGTGAAATGGGCCCCTTTCAAGCATTGAGTATATATTACTAATCTGGACTTTATTCTGCTTTCAAATTATAAATGTGATCAAGTCATGAACTCTTGTACCTAAATTACCATAATTTCTTCTAGTTCTGGGCTCAGTTCATCTTTATACCTCAAGCTGAGACTGAATATAGAATTCCCCTGTGTTGGATACAACACTTGCT